TTTGTTTTACAATTATAAATAACACAATTTCAGTATTTAACAGATTCTAATAAAACTCTTTAAACATTTAGTATGCAAGTTATATTAAGAAACTAAAATTTAAAAAAATAAAATTATACTTCTTTACTCTTACTTTACTATATACTAAGTTATGCTATACTACTATATACTCTTTACTATATACTCCTACAATTAAACAGGATCTCTGAAGATAGAAATATAGAAAAAATTGTGCATTTATCAGATTTGGTTTAAAAAGCAGAAAAAGACTGGAATTAGAACCAACAAACTGGAATCAATTAGAATAAACTATAATAATAAAATATTGCAAATCTTAATGAGTGAATCTTTCTGAACTAACAATGATGCAATTAAACTTGCTATTATGTAAGGCTAATTTGTTGGGAAAATATTCCTTTTTTAAATTTTTTAAGTATTATACATTTCATTCTTGACCATTTTATCAAGTGTATATATATATATATATATATATATATATACTTTATATATGAAACAAACACGAAAAGTGATAAGGGATGACAAGCAGATTCAAGACTTTAATAACACTGTCTGATACAATGATGCCTTTGTAAGGGACAAGTGAAGGACAGGTTACAACGTATTTATTTTTCAGTCTTGCCAACGTCCGTCACCATAGTCCAGATCGCTGAACTCAACATTTATTTATAAACGTAACAGATAAGAGTCTGAGAGTTGCTTAATGTATAGACAAACGTAATGGTCATCTGTAGAATCCAAATCTAATTATGGTTAAAAGTTTAGAACGGGGTCAGACCCTCTCGATTACAAGGCGCCATATATGAAACACGAGTACAGAAAGGAAACTGTTGTTGTGTAAAATCGATGAATGCATCGTTGTCGTGTCACAATTACATATCGAGATGTTATATATGATATATTATACTTCCTATACTGGTTATCGATATATTAATTTGTAAAAATTAACTTAAAAAAAACGTGTAAATGTATCTAATTTTGTCCAGTTCTTAAACTAG